TCCTTCCTTCCTTCCTTCCTTCCTTTTTTTCAGCAGAGTCTTGTTCTGTCACTCAGGCTGGAGTACAGTGGCACTATCTCAGCTCATTGCAACCTCCACCTTCTGGGTTAAAATGATCCCCCTGCCTTACTCTCCCAAGTAGCTGGGATTACAGGCATGCACCACCACTCCCAGCTAATTTTTGTATTTTTAGTAGAGACGGGGTTTCACTGTGTTGATCAGGCTGGTCTCGAACTCCTGACCTCAAGTCCTCGGCCTCCCACAGTGCTGGGATGACAGGCGTGAGCTTCTGCACCTGACCATGTTTCTACACTTTACAGCAGCTCCATGGGAGGCCCCTGAGGCCACCTGCCTCAACCCCAGGTAGCGACAGTCCTGCCATGTCCTGGAGCAGGAGTGAGACATCAGATGGACCTGTTCAGGACGGGGCAGGTCTCACGCCCGCCTGGATCCTTCACACCCAGCGTAGCCCCCAGATTTCACACGTGGGGTGGCAGTGACTCCAGGCCTTAACTGTTGCAGGGATGTGCAGACCGAGGGCCAGAGGGGAGGGCTGGGCAGTCCCGGAGACGCTCGGCGGGACCTCTGTGATAGCCATGCTTGTGTTTTCCAGGCCCGAGCTGCTCACTGATGGAGTCAAAGAGCCCATCGTGGATAGCCAAGGTACTCTGTGTGGGGCCTTGGGCTGTGGCATGGGCGGGCATGGGAGGGTCCCAGGCCTCTGCCACCAGCCCCTCCTCCTGCTGCCTCTGTCCTGGCCCCATCCTGGCCCTGGCATTCTCTCCACACCGCCCCCCTGCAACTGGGTTTCTCCTAACGATGCCATCTTGGGTCCCAGGAACTGCCACCTCACTTGGCTTCTCTCCCCCTGCCCTGCCCCCAGAGAGGGACTCCGGGGACCCTCTCGTGGATGACAGCCTGAAGAGACAGGGCTTTCAAGGTAAGGTTGAGCTCGGGGGAGAGCTGCTGTCCCAGAGCCGTGACCTTGACCTGGTTTGGCTTTGGAGGGCCAGGTTGGAAGCGGGGAGGAGCTGGCCCCCGACTTCAGGGCCTGAGGGACAAGGCCAGCCAGGTTGGCAGCCCAGGGTTGGCAGTACCCTGCTAGATCTGTGTTAAAGACTCTAGGGGAGATGGGGTGGGTGCCCACAGGTGGATGGTGGGGTGGATAGGGGGGTGGGAGGGTACAGGGCCCCCTACCTGCCCCCCCCCCACCGCCTGGAGAGATAGGTGACACGCCCACTCCTTATTCACCAATCAATCAGCTGTGCACTTAGTGCTTTGAAATCAGAATAGGAGCTGGCGGGGCACCTCACGGCTGTAATCCCAGCACTTTGGGATGTCAAGGCCGGAGGATTGCTTGAGGCCAGAGGTTCTGCCAGGAGTTCAAGACCAGCCTGGGCAACATAGAACCCATCTCTATGCCCATATTTACAATTTTAAGAAAAGAAATCAGAGGGGGCGCAGGGGCTCACGCCTGTAATCCCGGCACTTTGGGAGGCCGAGGCGGGTGGATCACTTGAGGCCAGGAGTTTAAGACCAGCCTGGCCAACACGGCAAAACCCCATGTGAACCAAAAAAATACAAGAATTAGTCGGGGGAGGTGGTGTGCACCTGTATTCCCAGCTACTCAGGAGGCTGAGTCAGGGGAATCGCTTGAACCCAGGAGGCGGAGGTTGCAGTGAGCTGAGATTGTGCCACTGCACTCCAGCCTGGGTGACAGAGCGAGACCCTGTCTCAAAAAAAAAGGAAAAAGAGAGAGAGAAGCAAGGAAGGGAGGGAGGGAGAGGGGAGGGAAGGGAAGAGGGAAAGGAAGAGGGAAGGGAAAGGAAGAGAGAGACAGAGGGACGGAAAGAAAGAAGAAAGAAAGAAAAAGAAAGAGGAAGGAAGAAAGAAAAGCAAAGAAAGAAGAGAGGAGAGAAGTGAGGGAAAGGAGGAGGGAGGGGAGAGGGGCGTGTCGCTGAGGTCAGGTGGAGGAGGCTGGGGCTGGGCTGGGAGGCAGGAGGTGGAGGGAAGGAAGGAAGGAAGGAAGGAGGGAGGGAAGGAAGGAAGGAAGGAAGGAAGAAGGGAGGAAGGGAGGGAGAGGAATGGAAGCAGGGAGACACTTGAGGAAAGGCAGGAGGAGGATGGAGCAGCAGGAAGGCGCCAGGGTCTGAGGGGGGCGGGCAGTGCCCTGCGGAGCCCCCGTGTAGGGGCTGCTCTGAGAAGCCGCGGTGTGGCTGCCAGTGAGTAGCAGAGGTGACTCTGTGGCCGCCGTGGCCCTGAGGAGAAAGGGGTTGACGGGCCCAGTGGTGGGAAGGGTCACAGGGTGGGGGAGCCCAGAGAGAGGGGACCCAAGTCCCAGAGGGCAGCTGCTCTCTGCCTCTGGTCTCTCATACTCTGGAGCATTCCATGACAAGGGGAGTTGACGACTCTCTCCTCACCAGAGCTCCTCGTACACAGCCCCCTTAGCAGACTGAGACCCTCACTATCAGCCCGGCCCCAGTGCCCGTAGTCACTCCCTCCTCCCCTCCTCCCCGCCCTGAGGGGCCCATGGTGGTCTGGGACCCCCCTGTACATGCTGGCACTTGCCTTTTCTTTTTTTTGAGACTGAGTTTTCACTCTTGTTGCCCAGGCTGGAGTGCAGTGGCATGATCTCGGCTCACTACACCCTCCACCTCCCAGGTTCAAGCGATTCTCTTGCCTCAGCCTCCCTAGTAGCTGGGATTACAGGTTTGCACCACCACACCCAGATAATTTTTGTATTATTATTATTTTTTTTTTT